GGGCACTAATGAACTTTGGCTCGAGTAAGTGCTTACGATTACTGGATTGACCCTGCCTGTGAGCACAGCTGCTCCGTGTGCATGCGCATGTCTGTGTCTCTAGACTCAGGTGGTTATAAGAGTTATGATTGACTGTTGGCATAGTAAGCCCGAAACCAACCCTCACCAATCAACCCGCATTTATGGCGTCTCCACCTCTGCTATCATAAATTTACCGGCTTCGGGCTGGTGGGCGGTTGCCTGTTTGGCAGCTCTGCCACCCTCTCTGGGCTTTCTTGCCTTACGAAGCCAATGATTCGTTGTGTGCCAATTCTTGCATGAATGGTTTTAAAAAAAGGCTGTCCTCCGAGTTGAAGGTCAACGAAATATACCAGTGGGTACACTCTTGACTGTGTGCGTACATGCACGAGGCAACAAGAGTCCGAAGAAAAGGGTACTACTAACACAACAACCACCAGTGTTCCAAAACTAGCAAACAGACGAAAAATTCCTCCTGTGAACAATGTATCTTAGTAGGTTAAAAAACAGCTGACAAATAATTGCATGTACTGGCCGCCTACAAACCTAAGATAACTTTGCGCACCAAACTTTCGTACGCTGATGATAGGACTGGCTGGCTCAAAAAGTGGTAAAAGTTCTTGCAATTAATTTTTGCAGAAATCTTATTGAATCTACGCAAACATTACAAAGTACTGAAAACAAACATCCCCAAAATTACCCTCGAAAAAGAAGTTCAGGCGTCACGCCGCATAGAACGGAGAATAGTTCTCCGTAACTCAACCAAAGCATTTTAAGCCGGATTATGAACCACTAGAAAAACACAACATGAGGGTACTGAGGAAGGGAATGAAGAGAAGGACGGAAAGAAGGAAAAGGGGTTTGAATACGGGAGGGCATAATAATAGCGATGGAATGGCAGACACCTTATACCATCAGGGCCGGCCCCCACGAAGGATACGAACGATAAAGGTAAGGCATTCAAATGCGCAGAGCATGTTCAATAAAATTTACGAGCTCCAGATCTTTGTTGACAAACAAACATCCGAGATAATCGCGCTGACATAAACATGCCTCTCAAAAGATATCCGAGATCACGAAGTATCCTTCAGTGGTCTCCAGCTCTTTAAGAGACAAAAGAAACCGCAGAGGAGGAATCGCTGTTTATGTTAACTCTAATATAACTGCAGTTTCCGAGTAACATGCCATGACAGCAGACGTTGAAGTTTTCTTAACTATCTCAACTAAGTATATCTGGCCGTTGATATTTGCAGTTGCCAAGTGTCCTTCAAAACAAACTTCCGAACAAGATTTTCTTCTCCTGTCTGAAGTGAGCAAGGCTTGCTTGAACCACGATGTCCTTACCGTTGAAGACTTTAACGCTCCCAACGTCGACTGGCAAACTTGGACTGCTCTGAATTCACCAGATACATTCACTCGTCATTCACTACCACCCCCCGGTCCTTTTGGGTGGCTATCCACCTCCGATTGACGCCTCGGAACGACATCTCCCGAGGATCACTCGCTGTACTCTGGCGCAGCTACACAGTGGCTACTGCATGCTCTTCGCCAGTACCAACACCAGCTCGACCCGTCCATACCCGACAGCTGTCCTGACTGCGGCGTCTCGGCCGCATGACTGCCGTCATCTCTTCGCCTGCAGTTCCCGGCCAGGCACCCAACTCAGCCCCGTGGACCTTTGGCTCAAGCCGGCTGAGGTCGCGGTTTTTCTCTGTCTCCCAACTGCACCCAGTTTGGACTCCGCCGGGGACCCCTGATCCAACAAGGGCTACCAACCAACCAACTCGTCGTTCGCTTGAGATGGCAGTGGAGAATGTATTCTTCGGAACACATGTGAGGGAAGGATATTGGTTGAATTGTCTGGACCTTGCGTTCACCTAAGAGTGTGGTGGAGCTACAAGATATTCCGTCAATGGATACTATTGAACATATTGCATTGCTTTTCGAGTATTCCATGTTCCTATATTCTGACTGACGTGTATCACAGGAAACAAAGTCTGGAAGGGAGATTTTTCTAGCATGCGAAAGCAAATCTCGGAAATACTGTGGACAAGCACATTATGGAGAACCGTTAACGAATACTGAATTACCTTCAATTTGTTGGTAGAAAAATCATTAATCTGAACTGTCTCCTGAAACGACTGTTTTAAACTGTGAACATCAGATCTTCTTTAAGAGAAGAAACATGATGTGAAAGCGTTTTCAAATTATGGGGATTGTCAAACGCATGCGGGAATACAAACGACAACGGGGTTTCTGTAAGAGGGAGGAATATAGACTCTGTAGGAACTATAACTGTACTATACTGCAGAACTCTTTGGAACATCCCAAGATCTTCCACGGTTACATATACAATAACTAAAGAACTCGTGACCCAATTCCAGCGCTGTGATCCCAAAACGGAGTATTAGAGACACATGACCAAATGTAGGCCTCAGCTCTCTCTAGCTTCATTCAGTTGGTATTTATCTATGAAACAAATTATCCTCCTCTCCTCCATCCAGAGCAACAACGAAAATATGGAAACTTTTGCATTAGAAGATATTCTC